ACAAGATTAGTTCCCAGCCTTGAGGTTCAAGATAAGATTATTCATGAATTATCTTTATATAAAAATGCTGAAGGTCTTTTTGGAATTCCAATTGCCGTTCGATCTAGGACAATTACCTCTCCAGGTATTAATAATTTGATATAATTAATTTCATATATATTATGTTACTATGTTATTGCTAATAATAACATAAATTTTGTAGCTGAATGGTGGAGTCTATTTGGAAATTCCACCCCGAACTTACAGAAATTTGCTATCAAAGTACTTAGTTTGACATGTAGTATTTCGGGTTGTGAGCGAAACTGGAGTGTCTTTGAGCATGTAAGTATTACTAAATATTTTTGTTTTAATTAATTTATTTATTTAGATATATGTATTAATATATTTTTAAATTATATGACATGACAAATTCACTCGAAGAGAAGAAATCGGTTAGAAAATCAACGATTACACGATCTTGTTTACATAAAGTATAATCAAGCTTTGAAGACTCGTCATGATTTGAAAAATAGATTTGATTCAATCTCATTGCAAGATATTGATGATTCAAATGAGTGGTTAGTAGGAGAAATGGGTGCTAACTTGCAAGATGCTGAAGACGAGCTTGTATTTGAAGATGATAGATTAACATGGGGAGATGTGGCAAGAGCTTCAGGTGCTGGAGAATTACAAACATATACAAGACAGATGTCAAAGAGAAAAATGAGTGCAAAAGCATCAAGCTCGGCTCCTGCTATTGTTGAGACATAGAGAATGAAACATATCTTGATGAAGAGGAAGAAGTCGAAGGACAAGAGGAAAAAGACGAATTTAATGAAGATGATTTGTGTGAAAATGACGATAATATTGATTATAATGAATGACTTTGATGTAAAATTTTATTGTTTTGAATTTTGAAACTTTTTGTTAATGTGACATTGTGATTTTGTATCTTAGATTTTCTTAATTTAATAGCATATTTTTATTTAAAATTTTAAATAATTATATTTATTAATTATATTATATATTTTTATATTTTAGCGTCTCGCTTCGCTCGGGCGAGCGCCTAGCGACTCGAGCGTTTTTGGACCTTAGCGTCTTTTGGCGCCTAGAGCTTTTTAAATCACTGATATTACTCAATAACATAACCTGATAGGTGCAATACTCAGCAGAAACCAAAAAAGAAAATAAAATTGTCAAAAAAAAATTCAATAACAATTGTTCTCAATTCAACCAGCATGTTGTCTTCTCAAACATCACTTCGGTCCATTTTATTTATTTTATTTAATATCATTTTTTTCAAACACTTACATTTGTAGCAATAGGCCCCTCTTTGGATTCATCTTTAACATAAAAGTGATATTTAACAACTTAGTTGTTCAATTGGATGGTTCTTCTCGCAAATACAGTAGGCTGCCTTAAGTGTTGTGATGGAAAGTATGATATCTGAGTGGACATCTAAAGTCATTTACTGTTATGACCAAGATTAAAATGAACCTACCTCCATAAATTCAATAAACTTTGTTCACAGTATTTTTGGACTGCTTGACTGGCATTTTCTTTTCCAACTTGCTTACAATTCTTGAGCCCAAAAATTCATCCATCAACAATGTCAATGAAATGTGTTAGTGAGTTAATATACAATCAGTGAGCTCCATGTGCACAGACATGCTTGAATATTGTCTTCAAATGAGATCATTTTAGAAGTAGAGAGGGATTATAAGTTAGCAATGCCTACATATTAAAACAAAAAAGAGAGGATCCAACATAAAAGATCTAAATATGGAAACATAGCATGCAGAAGATACATAATTTAAAATTAATGCCCTAACAGAGAAGCTTTGAAGGAGTATACAATATTTTGAGGTGTTTCAGCTGCCCAATCTGAGGAGGGATCGGCCCAGTCAACTTGTTATTGTGAAGATCCCTGTCATTTAGATTATGTAAAGGTTAAAAGACTGCAGTCTCTAAAATGAGCAGTCACATCCAGATGAAATTCCATTCTAATAAGCTGAACCGCATTTTTTGAGCATGAAGCAAGATACACTCCTAATCAGCAAGGTACATGCTATGGAAATAAAATCTAAAGGTTCAAAAGTCCACTAAAGTGACCTTTTTTCTTAAAAGACAGTTCCTGTATTATATGATTGAATGCAGTACCATGTTCACGCTAAGCATCAAGACACATTGTTGGTTCTCCAATTCAGCCAAAAGTAACAGATGCAAGTACAAATCCAAAAAAGGCATCCTTATATTTCCAATTTTCTTAAAAGGTTTCACTATATCATATTTACATTACACTCCACGTTAGATGATGCGATAAGCCCAATGTGTGGTCAAGATATCTGGGGACTCAAGTAGATATGTGCATGGTGTAAATGCAATAAGAAAGTAAATGACAAGAGAAGTCCAATTCCATATGACCCAAATTTTATGAGCAAAACCACAAGCAGGTGTAGCATTACACCAGAGTCCTTAAAAGTACTTCTGAACATGAAACCTTTCACTACTTGAGGTCAAGGGAATTCAGTACCAAAAAATTCTACGGGAATGAATTACTAAAAGTGATGGAAATTCATAATCTGAAAATGATGTAAAGTGGAGAGAGTTCTTACAGTCTTGTAAGATCCAGGAGATTTGTAACAGCAATAGGGAAGGGACCAACAATTGATACTGCATAAACTTCCCTGCAAGCAGAGGTCTAAGATATAAGCTTTGCAATGAATTAAGTCTCCAATAATAATGTCTTGTCAACAGAAAAAAAATTGAACATAATGGTGCGATATTTATGCGAAGGACCATGTCAAATGTTTGAACTGCTTGCATAAGCAAAACCTTGTCACTGCACGCAGAGAATAAAACGTCAAATTGACTATTATCTGATAAACTAGGCTAGTGAAGAGGTCAATAAGCAGCATTGCACTTTTTTGCATTTGTTAGTATTCAACAAGCAATATTTTCACTAAAAGTTGCCATCAGAAGCACAACTTACAGATAGCAAATGGAAAGATGCACTGCTTTCTTGAGAGATCATTTTTAAAGATCTCATTAAAGTTCCAGTATCAGTTTGCCCATATGGACTCACAGTATTCGTTGTCCAAGCACTATACTGATAGTATTAGTCCTTGCTGCATACTAACACAATAAAGGAGGTAGCGAAATTAGAATTTAAATCCCCATGTGTCAGACCTACAGGATATACTTGAAAAAAGAAAGACAAGGTTATTTCTATCTCAAATGATAACTTCTCTCGAACTTATGTGTTTTTTGAATAAATTCTTGACATAACAAGTATCACAACTGGATATCTTGCATGGTATAATTTCATACTGAATCAGACCATCAAAAACCATTATAATCAAGAACGTAAAATAGTGGATATCTTTTTTTAACCAGAAGCTGTCACAAAAGCCAAATAGATAACTTACAAATTGCATCTGAGGAAACTAAGGCAGAATCATTTATCATCTTGTCCATCATACAAAGAGAAAAAGCAGATAATAGGAGTTTAAGACATTTTATATATACATCAATATTCAGGGGAAAGAATAGAAATTTGACATACAATTCCGTAACAACCCTGTAATCTCCTTGTTGTGAGCATGTAACGCCTGACCACGGGGGAAGGTCACCATCTCCACAAGGATCATCTCCAACCCATGCATAAACCACTCGCCAACCAAGTGAAGCCTTAATTTCATTCAGTGCCTTTACTGCATGAAAAGATAGTTTCTCATCTCATGAGAAGGAACCAACAAATTCTACACATTTAGATTATACACTATCAATGCATATTCTCATCTTAAAAAATAACAATTCAACTTATAAACTAAACATAATGAGAAATGTACTATCATAATGAACACAATAGTCATTGCGGAATAGCCCAAGTGATGGTATGGACACAGACATGGAGTATGTCACTTAACTTCATGGTATGTGTGAGATAGACATATGATTATTCGATTCATTATTCTTGAATCATGTTATTTACTGAATTTTGATCACTTAAGGGAAGTGACTAGCGCACGAGTCTCCCGCCAATGGAGGGTTTGGGAGAGTCAATGTACACAGCTTAGCCTCCCACGTCAAAAAGGAGCGCCTTACTGTTGTACCAAGACCCACCCTCACATACTCTGATCACTTGCTGCAATTAATTATTTTTTGTCTTACCATGTAACTAACTATGCATCTAATTGAATCAATAACAATAGTCGCTGAAGACCTGAAAGCTATGAAATCATCCATTTTTCTTTCATTTTAGGTTTTTTTGAAGAATTTTAAAGAAGAAATTTCTGTCGAACCTTTTTGTCAGTTAATATTAATAAAATCAAATGCACATTGCTGAGATTGGATCCCAGTTTCAACATTCTAAATTGGGCACCATAGTGAACCGAAAAGCAAACGGACTGTAAATTGAAACCAGAAATTCAGGTTGCAGCTTACAAGGAGTAAAGGATCCTAATTAGTAGATAAAGGGTATACAGTATCTATCTCGTTGTACTGGATAAGCTAAATCTGGAGAGTGGAGACACGTAAAGTTGCATGGATTATTGCAGTTGATAGTGCCCTTACCACCCAGCTTGTGATTTAAAGTGACAAAATTTGATAAAAACCAGGAATAATTTTTTGTTTTGAAAAAAAGCCAGCTGCAGAAACGAAAAACAGATTTTGGCTATCTTTCCTACTCAAACAAAAAAGGCAACTATTTTACCACGTCTTGCCCTTGCTTCCAATCTCAAAACCCCATTAATCCATCGCATCAAAGAGCAAAGAGACCCCAAGCAAAATCACCAAACTCCCAAGACACTCGCCTTTCTCACTAAAATAGAGGACTCGGGACGTAATGCAACCCAGATCTTGAAATGAATGCAGCAGGAAGTGCAAGAAGTACCGTCTCTCTTCACGGTTTTACATTGCGCGAAGCCGAAGAGAAAAACGAACAAGGCAACTGAGGCCAAAGTAGCGGAGCCCGCCATCCGACGCCTCGATCTTGGGAAGAAGAAACCGATGGTTGCCCGGGCTACCCAGATCACCGATCACCGTCCCCCGCCGCGTTCCGAAAGCTGCATCTCCCGTTGGGTGTCGGTAGCGGCAGAGAGCTCAGTGTCGGTGCGATCAGAGAGATCAATATAATAATGTCAAAAACAAATATAATTCTCCCACCAGTTTCCCTAATACCTGCATCTCTACCCGCCTTACTCACTGGATGGGTCCGCAGCTGAACGAGAGAGGTGAACCAATCACAAGGCCGGTAAACCATTCATTTGCTTATCCATTGAGAAAAACTTAATATTATTTTGATAGCTTTACACATGCCGTTGTAGAGAATGACAATAGCGTGCTTCCGGTGGATAGTTAGAAACAGCTAATTTCAACACAACTATGGCATTTGGTACAGTGAGGTGTATAAAATCGCATTGGAATAATTTTTTTATGTGATTATTAATTTAGCGGGTAAGACCTCAACAAATTATATGGGAATCACCTCTATATATATATATATATATATATATATATATATATATATATATATATATATATATATATATATATATATATATATATATATATACCCCCGAATCCACACACAT